TTTATATATATATATATATATATATATATATATATATATATATATATATATATATATATATATATATATATATATATATATAAGCAACCTACAAATTCGAAATTACTCACCACCTGATTACTCACCACCTGATGATTCCTATACGGATAAAACAGATTGTTGTGGTTTTTTGAGGTAAAACGAAATATATATATATATATATATATATATATATATATATATATATATAATAATTAGCTCATGAATTATTCATGAATTTTTTTTATATATATATATATATATATATATATATATATATATATATATATATATATATATATGTGTGTGTACTGATTTAAAATTCATATATAGACTACATGTACCTTTATGATAAAGGTACATGTACCTTTATAAAAATTCTTTAACAAAATGTTTATTAATCTGTTCCTAATAAAAACTCAAATATTCGAGAAATCAATAAATACTTTATTTTCCAAAGTTAAAGGTCATGTTACAATTGTTTAACACAGGATTAACAACCCTTTCATTTTGATTAGATGCACACCACTTAAAACTCTTTAAAGCCAACAAACTTGCTTAACCAAAATGCTAAGGACGCTTCATTCATCTCCGCCAGCGATGTAGTTAATGTCTGGATTGGGCTAATATCATCAGTTTCATGACCAGCATCGTCGATCTTCACTTCTTTAACCTTTCTAGCAGCTCTCCAGGAATCAAAAATCTTCAAAGCCCACTTTGTCGCGTATCTTGTACTTGGCGGCATCGCTCCTTCGAGCAACGTTTGCTCCTCTTCAACACTTCGAGCGCTTCGAAACCGACTCATTAACGTTCAAATTTCCATTTGAAAACTCCGTTTAACGACTTCTATTACTTGATAATTGATAATCCAGGCATTAATTTGCTTGCTGATCAATGAAGGGAAGAATCGTAAAACAATAGAACTATTGTAGTTAACATTTCTTATTATTTCATTGGGACCCAAAACAAAAGGTGAATTTTAGAAGTCATTTATAAACCGAGTGATTGGGCTTTATCGGTGCCTATAGCAGCTCGCCTTCGGCTCGCGTCTATATGCACCGATAAAGCCCTCTCACTCGGTTTATAAATAGTACATATATATATATATATATATATATATATATATATATATATATATATATATATATATATATATATATATATATATATATATATATATATATATATATATATATATATATTATACAAAATAAAGGCCACGACCAAAAGAAATTAGAATATATAATTCAAAAATTTTTAAATTTTCGACTGCATGTAACAGCCTTCGTCAGAAACTAAGTATATATATATATATATATTCACGCTGAGTGCGATCATCAGGTGACGGTGTCACCGTCACCTGATGATCGCACTCAGCGTCACCGGTGTCACCGTACTATTTAAAGCACGCGTAGGAGTGTTCCATCACATATAAAACACGACGCGTAGCGGAGTGTTTTATATGTGATAAAACACGACTACATGAAGTGCTTTAAATGGCTTCAAAAACGACTCATCTTATACGAGTTCATTGGCGAAGTAATTTTTAAAATAAACTTTGTCTCAACCGAGAAAATCAAAGCTAAAGTTTATGTAAATTGACATTATTTTTTATCACATATAAAACCACGACACGCTTGTGATTTTTCTTTGTGTTGTCTCCTGAATTATTAATGAGTTTTTGAAGTACTATTTAAAGCACGCGTAGGAGTGTTTTATCACATATAAAACACGACGCGTAGCGGAGTGTTTTATATGTGATAAAACACGACTACAAGTGCTTTAAATGTCTTAAAAAACGACTCATCTTATACGAGTTCATTGGCGAAGTAATTTTTAAAATAAACTTTGTCTAAACCGAGAAAATCAAAGTTAAAGTTTATGTAAATTAACATAATTTTTTATCACATATAAAACCACGACACGCTTATGATTTTTCTTTGTGTTTTGCTCCTGAATTATTAATGAGGTTTTTAAATATATATATGAAATGTGTTAGAACGTTATAAAACGTGTTTAAACGTGATAAGCGATAGATTAATACATTTTATATATGACTACAAAAGAATACTAATTAGGATGAACCATTATAGAATCATACTAATTAGGATGAACAATTATAATTAACCTCATGCTTTATCAGATATATAAAGTCACTCCACGTGACGTATGGCTGACATGATTTGCCACAAGGTTTATGAATTATTAATGAGTATTTTAATCACTTTTTCACCAGACTTAAAAATAGTTTCTGTTTAGCATTAATTTTTTTCAGGAAATGGCTGAGAAATTTGGTAAAATGAAATTTAAAACTATATTGTTCGAAATAAAGTTTTCAGTAATAACACTTTTCACTTTACAAGTTTCGAAAACACAATACAGCGGTCAGAACACCATACAGCACAATAAAAACATGACATATCAAAAGAAATAGTATCATACAAATTGAGAAATCTATAGGATACAAAACAAATACGAATAATAAGCTTAATGTGAGCCAACATGCACGCTGATACCGCACTGTGTTTCGCTAATGCAGAGTATACAAGGGCCGGTTATATAAAAAGAGAGATAAAGTTAACTACAGTTAGTGCGAAAGTTAATCAATCAAAATCGCGTGTTTTAAAGTTAACTAATACTTAACTACAAAATAGTGGTTAAAAGTAGTTAAGACGATCTTGTCTGAAAGTACACACGTGTGAGCGAAGGTTGCATAAGGTTGCGGAAATGTGGACATCCCTGTCCAAATACATGCGATGAAGACTGCGAGTTAGGCAAATGCGAGCACTGTTTATGTGTATACAGAAAGAAGATGCAAGAATTCCATGAAACGGCCAAAACAAGAGTTGAAGAGCTGCAAGAAAAAAATAAGAATAAAACTATCCCAACATTCTCTTGGGAAAAAATCCGTGGCTCAGGAGCGACTGCAGCTGAAAACCAGAAAGTCGACGATCAAGTTCTGACGTTCATTCAACTATGTCACCATTGGTTCCCTAAAATCACCAAAATTGAAAAAGTACCAATCTTGTTTTGGAAAAGAAATGGCGAAGCAGCAAAGTCCAGAGTATTCGGAGATTACATCGATAAAATGTTTTATGGCACTTCTAATAATGCTTTAAAGAACATCATCAAAGAGGGATTCAGAATGCCAGATCCAAGTCCTCCACCTTCCAAACGTGGTATGTATGGACAAGGAAGCTACTTTGCTACGGATTCCTCCAAGAGCGCACAAAAGTTTTACACGCAAGGCTCTCAGAAGCTTCTTCTGTGTCAAGTTATTCTTGGAAGATCGAAGGAAGTCCATGAGCCTGACTACAGTTTGAATAAGAAAAAGGTCCGATCCAATAAATTCGACTCTGTGTATGCTCCGCTAGGATCAGCTATGAAGAATGATGAATCTGTAATCTTTGATCCAGACCAAGCGCTGCCACAGTATATCATTCATTTCTCTGATACCGTTACGCCACCATCTCCATCAACTCTTAATATTGAGCACACATTTACAGTAAAGAACATGGTACCGTTACGGACCGTAGACATCCGAGATCCATTCCAAATGTACTACAGTTTGGCCAACTCTCACTTCAGAAGAATGGCCATCTCGAGAAAACCACCTCTTTCTTACCATTTTATCCATTGATATCGTCATCAACAAGGATCAGACAGATCAGGATGAAGACAAGTTTGACGCAACGAAGAAGAAGTTTAAGAGCCAAGGCATTCCTGACATTCTTGCTTATCATGGAAAAATATAGATAGTATCCTAAAGAGTAACCTGCAGTTAAGCTTCGCCAAGTGGCAAGCCTTTGGTAAAGGAAATTATTTTTCTGAATTCCCTGCAGTCAGTTTGGGTTATGGTGATGGTCTACTCCTGTGTCGTATTCTTCCTGGAAAAGAATACGTCGATTCTAGCAACTGCAACATATCCAAAGCCACTGGAAAAAATTTTGAAAATCCATAGAAGGTAATAGCATGGAAATTGTACGGACCTTGTATTGAAAATAGAATGGATTTTGATTATCCATAATAATTGTATATTTCCATTCTATATGGATATAGAACTATATAGTATGGAAATAGTATGGATATACTATGGATTTAGTGGTGCAATTGCAAATTTCATAGCATGGATTTCACTTTTTTTTTCCCAGTGAAGGCTATAATTCCAAGAGAGTGTTACGAAGCCAGCCTACTAGCTGAATTTGCATATATAACCAAACTTTCCAAAGGCCAAATATACCATATAGCTCCCGACTATTATTACCCAGCTTTTTAACATTCTGCCCAGTTACTTCTTATACCTAGTGGTTGCCCAATATTCACAAATTCACCACAATTCACCCATAGCGCATATAGTAATATAATCAGATGGAAAATATACAAAATAGCAGCAAGGAATTAAAATAGCTTATCATGCAGACGATGTAGACGCGCGCGTATTCATTAATTATGTGTAAACTATTTGTTGTTATACACGCACCAATTGCAGTCAGCAGCATGGATGGATCATGTAGAGATTGTTCGTTTGTTTTTAAATGTGTGGATCTTAGCGCTACAGAAACTACAGCAACCTGCAAGACAGCTACAGGCAAAGCAAGTCAAAATGTTTTGCCGGCTAGCTTGATCTCAGTTGTTTCATACGAAACTGACAGAAAACAGCAAAAGTTAGCGAGCATATTTAAATGAATAGAAAAGCGACAATAACAACAAATTCAATCTCTTTATAGATGTTATTTTACATAGGTAATACCCTCTGATTTTCAACAAGTAGTAATTGTCCAAAAATACGGATCTAATTCTGCTTTGAGCCACCTTAACAAAAAAGCACGACATTAGGACTGTACCACAGAATAAATACAGAAGCCCGATTTCTTGTTTTTTCCTATGATTTTGGCGTAACCGTTATTCGTCATCAAAATGCTGACGCCATGGTCCTAGCCACACTGCTTATGCGAGGCATTCACCCCCACTGTCAGATAAGATTCAAAATGGCGGGCGTCCTGGGGGGAAGATTATAGATCTGTGTGTCTTTATTCTGTGACTGTACCGGGTTCCTCCATTTATATATTAGAGAGTTTGAGCAAGACAACGAAGTCCGACGACGACGACGTGTTGACAATTTTTGCCTGTGTTAACCATTATCTTTCGCATTCTAAGTTTAGGGTCAGGAGTGAAGACAGGTTAGAGATTCATGTCTAGCTGTTGATGAATGCTGACCCAAATCCTTCCCCTGATCAGAAAAAAACAGCGAGACATGAATCCATATCCCGTCTTCGTTCTTCTGCCTTCGTTCACAACGAATATTTTGGCAAAATTCGTTGTGAACTTCGTTCTGCACGAAGGCA